TTCCTGTCTATATTTGCTTATTTTATTTACTTATTTGTTTTATTATTTTTTTTTTAGAGACAGAGTCTTACTTGGTCGCCCTCAGTAGAGAGCCATGGCATTACAGCTCACAGCAACCTCCAGCTCTTGGCTTAGGTGATTCTTTTGCCTCAGCCTCCTGAGTAGCTGGGACTATAGGCACCCACCACAGTGCCTGGCTATTTTTTTTTTGTTGCAGTTTGGCCGCCCTTGGTATATGGGGCCAGTGCCCTACTCACTGAGCCACCTGCATTGCCCAATATATTTGCTTATTTTTAATCATTTTCTTCTTGCCATTTTCTCTGAACACTTAGAATTCTATTAGTTGAACATTGGGTGGATCCTTTTGTTTTCTTATTTATTTATTTTTCTTTCTTAATCATCTCTTTGTCTTAATTGTCTTAGTTTTTGGATAGTTTCCTCCCATTGTCCAAATCCTCATTTGAGAGTTTTTTTCTTTCATAATTTTTACTTCCAAAAACCTTAAATTTTATCCTTAATGTTTCTTTTTACAACTTCCAGTTCTTTTAACAAAAGTAGTACCTTTCTTCTCCTATAGAAAATAGTAATTGGAATTCCTGATATTTTCTTTTGTTTCCTGCATTATCTCATTTTCCTCCTTGTTTTTCCTGTGACTTATACAAGATTTCCTTCAAATTCCTGGTGATCCTTGGGTGTCTTTACATATTGGAATGAGCTGTGGAAGGCTCAGAGGCTCAGAAAAGCTTATTGGAAGCTGTGTGCTTGACTAGGACTCATGAACTGGGGAGCCTCCCTGTGGAGGGGTTGAGTGGTTAAACCAGTTCCGTTAAATTTCAGTATCTCTTGGGATGCTTTCCTCTGGGGCCATTCTATCTGATCAGAGAAGGATCTGCTAATCTTGGGTGTGAAGAACTGAGAGTATAAGCCTGGGAGCTGTGTTCTGAGATCCATGTGGGCAAGGCCTTCACTGGGGGCACAGGCCTTCACTGTTCAGTACATGGAACTGAGCTTTTGCCTCTGTCTCTAGTTGGGGTGTCTCACCTCTGCTCTCTTCTGAGCTCCCAGGCCTGAGCTTCTCCTTTTAATGTCTCCAGCATTAATCCCGACTCCTATGAGGGAATGGAAGGGAGAATTGCCTGATTATGCCTGGAAGGGGTGAGAACAAGAGGGTCTGACTTTTCCTCGTACAGTCTATAGGAGTGGAGAAGGAGGTGATCCCTTTCCTTCCCATCGTCAGGGTCATAGCCAACACCCCTATGACAGAAGACAGGTTCATAAGAGAAAACTGTAACAAATTTATTTAATCATCATTTTATGTGACACAAGAAACTGGATTGAAAACCCAAAGATTAGGGAAAACTATCCTTTTTTATGCTAAGGCTCCATGGAGAATGAACAGGCTTTTGTTTAGACAAAAGGAATGATCTAATACAGTAGAACCTCTGTAAATTGACCACCCATGGGACTGTAACCAACTGGTCAACATAAGGAACTAGGCCTACTGTGCTGATGCATGTGGTACATGTCAAATCTATGAAAATTAGGTCAACCTAAGGAGGTGGTCAATGTAGGGAGGCAGTCAACTATGGAGGTTCTATTATAGTAATAAACTGAGTGGTGGGTTGTGGCAGTGGCTGGGTTGGGGGGACCCCAGGAAGACTTGTCTGTTCTGATTCTTTTTAGTCTCTCCATGTTTTGTTATTTCACCTGAGATGTGGGCAGGACTTTTTCTGGAATGAGGGTCTTGTGACCTTGTATCAGACAAGGTAGATGAGAGAGTATCTTATGGCCAGCTCTTACACAGAAAGGTGAATGAAGGTTAAAGTTATATTTCTATGGCTCAGTGCCTGTGGCTCAAGCAGCTAAGGTGCCAGCCACATGCACCTAAGGTGGTGGGTTCGAATCCAGCCTGGGCCCACCAAACAACAATGATGGCTGCAACAACAACAACAAAAAAATATCCAGGTGTTGTGGCGG